TAAGTGGGAGAAGGGCGGGGAAGGGGATAATGGGAGCAAGCGTCAGTGAGAACTTGTTAGCGACTTTTTTGTAAGTGCTTCGAATGCTAATGTTTAGCAGAACTGAAAAGTCCTAATTGCCTCATTGGACGAAAACTTTTCTATTTTCTAACAACTTTCAAGAAAAATTTTACCATTCAAACTCTGGTGGGTTACTTTGATATGTGCGACACCTTGATTCTTCATCTGGTTCTTCTCTGCCATTGACGAGGCGATTGGATGCTGGTTTTTCAAGAAGCAGTTGTTTTGGGGCAGGCCTGGACAGCAATGTAAAGTCCAATACTTTGCTGAAAAGCCCACTTATTTTTGCCCCATTTCTTCTCTTTCTGATACTCATTCTATTTTCCTGAAGGCTCCTTTTCATCCTCTCCCAGAGACTCGATCTTGATATCGACTTCGCAATCGTCCTTTTTTTGTTTTTCACTTACCGAACGTCTCGAATAGTTGGGGTAATCCTCAAGATGGTGGGAGTTTTCCTACTGTAAGCACTTATGTGGGTCATTCACAACACTTTTTCTGTTCTCCCCCTTGAACACCTTTGTAGGAGAGTTAGAGGTTCCTCGAACGCCTCTTTATTAGGAGAGTTAGGGGTCCTTGAACGCCTTCCCAGGAGAGTAAGGGGTCCCTGTTGAAAGTGTGTTTGCCAAGCTCCGCTGTTAGTACTATCTTCGAATTAATTTGGTATGATGCTCCATCAACTGGTTTGCTAGCGGTTTTGAAATGGACCTATGTAGACGTACCCTCGTCTCGCTGAAGTTAGTGTTTACACTGATTTTTGTCACCGCTGCTATTATTTTGGTCGTTTATACTATAAAAGAATCATTTCGCTATTATCGCTGTGTGTGGTAAAATATGTTATCTGATTTTCCAATTGATAATTTATTTAAAAGAAACTGATTCGATTTTTCTTCCACCAAGTATTACGATGTCGATCAAAAAGGGATCCGTGCCTTTTTTGCATTGCTAGTAGATGTTCTGCGTTAATTTCTTTTGACTGCGTTCAGTATGAGGGTGTTTTTGATTTTTTTCCTAGTATTTTTTGAAGTCTTGTCCAAGACCCTGGAACCCTGTCATTCTCCTTTCCCCCATCTGGGAAAAGCAGCTGATTCTATTCTCTGTATTCTGTTCTGTTGCTGATCTCAATCCATTCGTTTCGCTTCGCCCTTTCGACTATCTCGAATCAATGATGCCCTCGTTATCATTTTTAAAATTGGATGAGTAGCTGTTGCTCTCGGGCTGTTCGTCTATGGTCAGTGTTTGTTGATAAGACTTCGACAAAGGTGAGACATCAGCCCACTAATCGCAGCGTATGATTCCTTGACACCTTTCGATAACATCCTTTTCCCCCTCTCTTTCCCGAGTGTTCAGCGAAAAGCTCGCTTGTCTCGAACAATCACTATACAAATTAAGAATTGTAGTTCTTCCCATTATGATATCATTTGTTTTTTTTTTTCGAGTTTGTCACTGTTTAATTAACAGATTGTAGTGATAGTGCAAGAAGGCGTGGCGAAACTCCATATAGAGCAAGGAACGTTTGTAGTGTATGTTAATTCATTTTATCGATGTTATTCTTCTTCCCGAGTTGCGCGCTATCTCCCACGCATGGGCTCGGATTGAATCCCAACTTGATGACAGGTCAACCGAGCATTCATCCCTCCCAGCTACTCGAATTGGACTCCTTTGGGAGTACGAAAGCACTGGATGGTACGTCGGCTGGTCAGCATGATTCATTGTATAGGCCACATATCCATTCAAATCGCCACTACGATTTTGAATGGAAGTTGAATGCGGGGCCTACCCCAAAACGGACCTAATCTTTTGCCCTAAGTCCTCCTCTTACTGATGTTTATTGATATTTTTCAATGTTTCCATGAGCAATAGGGTGAGCTTACCTATGGACAATAACTGTTTCTGAAAGGAATTTTCCGCTGTCCCTTCCTGAACCTTCTTAGGATTCTGACCACCGCTTCTTTTAGCTATTTCGTGTTCAGCATTTGTATCGAATTTCCTTAAAAATTAATTACATTTCCTCATCTACCGGCTGGAGCTTGTGTCAGTTAAGGTTTTTTTTTTGAAGTAATTGCAAAAATCCTCGTTTTCCTTATGCAAGCTCACCATTCCTAATAGATTCCCTGTAGAAATTTTGTCAGAGAAAGGTGAAAAGTACTTTTTACTTTGGTTATTCATCTCTAGTAAGGTCGAAGTCCGTTTATTTGACGTTTACTGTCTACACCTTCAAAAAATGTCATAATTTTCGATAAGACCAAATGAGACATCATGACGTCGTTACTCAATGATCATTTTCTAAAATGTTTATTCCAATTTCACATACTTGTATAACTCCTTTTTTTTTTGAAAAATTGTTTTTCCTAGACCGGAAGGAATATAATTCAGACATATGGGAGCCATTGATCATTTCGGTACCAGTTTTATTGATGTGGGGGAGAAATTGTTAATACAGAGTGTTATGACTATTTGATCGAATTCCGTCCGTCCCAGCAGGCCATACCTTTCATGCATACCTCAGGGTAAACATTTCCCCTACCAATTCATCGATGTATTCCTCTACATTTTTGGCTGGTTCTACTACTTTCAATTGAAGTCCAGTCCGTAGGGATGTCTGTGCTTGGTATCAGCGTCGTGCATCGTTCTTTTGTACCTCCTACTTCCAGAACTCAATCCTGTTCGGGATATTTTGGGAAGATTTGAAGAAATTTCTTAGGGGGAGTATCGGAACTGCAGATCGATCTGTTGCAATGTCGTTCTGTCAGTTGCACGAGGTTTACATCAGCCTGTGGGCGTTGGGTTTCAGACGACTTTAGGCGCCGCCAACGACGTCGGCTAAAAAACCAAGAGTGCGCGTGGTTGAATTGTCGTCAGAGAAATGACGACCTGTCATTCACATATGAATCTTTTACGAATCGCTGAATGATCGGGAAATCTCGATGAGTTTCCTTCAGCAGCGGGTAGTCTAAAGCTTTAGGGCAAGGGCAACTAATCATCCGAGAAGGTCCAGGGGATCAGCTCTATCGAACTGCATCAATCCTGAAAACGTGGAAGTAGTTGGTGCTTGTGTCTAAGCAGAATTTCGATCGAGCTGCTTGGGTCTTTTTTTTTCTAAAAGATAACAGAAGAGCCCGTAGCTCGATCCTCAGACCACACTTGTGATGGTACACCCCTTACCTTTACACCACCTCCTTTTGTAAATCGTGTTGGCTTCGGAAGTTCCCTGGTTTCCGATACTATAGCTTTGTAGACTGGAAGAATAGTTTTAAACAATACATTTGAACCCGCAAACCCATGTCTGATTCGAGGCCATCAACTGAGGAACCCCAGAATATTTCTCGTGGCTTCGAATCATAAGTGAGTGCTCGTAGACCAAAGTCAATATTCATAGATGGAAATTTCTGTGAAAATCAGCACTTCCCTTTACACGGCGCAGTACCTACGCGGTGGAGCGTGGCCTGAATTGAGGTCGGAAATAACGTGTTGAGGTGCTCAGGTATTATGCTTCTTCATACAATACGACTTCAGTCCGAGTAGTCTTGGAATTCACAACGGAAATTCCACGAAAGTAGGATTTTTTGGTTTTTGGTTTTCTTTCTTCAAAAAGTCTCGATTTTTCATTGCTTCCGTTGTTTTCATGCATAACAGATGATAATTAATCGGGCCACGAGGAAGAGATGACACGCAGCTCTAGCAAAAACAATGCTGTTTTTAGAAATATGTAGGCTACAGCGACATTTTTCGACTGCCATCTTCAGGGTGATGCCAGAAAGGGGGTTGGACTCTGGACCCATTATGGTTGGTTGGAAAAGGGAGGATGGGATCGGTGAGTGAGATGAACACGGAGTTAGTTCTTCAACAATAAAAGTGGCAGGGCCTCAAGGTCTTAGACGCTGTTTTCGTGAATAAGAAGAATGGGAAGAGCTGTCGGAAATGGCTCATTTGGGCCTAATCTTCAGTAGTATCCTGTGGTCACTGAAGCAACCGTATGAGCCCTAAAAATTCTTCCACGATCTTGGATGTGAATGAAGGGCGTGGCGTATCCCAGAAAGAAATTGATCAATAACGTCGAGCTGTCATTATCCAAATGTTCTCATAAATCCCTCTGACTCTCTTTGACACCGTTGAGTTGATCGCGTATCGTCTAGCCTTTAATTTCAGTGTTTCGTGCTTATCATTTTTATTTACTTTTTTTGTCCTTTCTTGACATTCAGTGTGCAATTTCATAAGCTTACATAGAGTTTTCTCGCCTTTGACGCTTTTGTTCCTTCCTATGAGCGGTCTAAACACTAACTATACCAGTTTGTTGACTTCATAATCGAATTCGAATTTCAGGTTGCTTTGAAACTATACATCAGTTATGCTTGGAGCCTTAGAGCTGGCCTGCTCGTACAGGTAAACTGTATTCTATTTTTTCTCCAGTACGACTTTCAGATTGCACCCTGTTCGGCCTTTACAAGTATTTTTAACTTTTTACTTCAAAAATAGTTAGTATGGTATGGTAAGAGCTCAGACAAGCACATGGTTTATTGATCTAATCCACGGTTGTCCATCCATTGTTGTTATCCCTCCAGTGTCCAAGTCATCCAAGCATCTCCATGATCCCTCAAATTAGTAATAGAACTGGTTGGAAAGTAGTGATGTTTACTTTACCTACCTTAAGGCAACTTCTTTAGCAGGACACATTTCAAATGCTGATACAATATTCACTGGGATCCTGATAAATGGTGCATTTAAGAAAAGTTATTCAGTGCATTTTCTCTTGTGAAATGTGTAGAAGTGCTGATTGGAGTTCAATTATAATTCACATGTCAGTAAAAAGTTTGTACGAATTTGAGTTCGGGTTTTCGGCTTATTTTCGAATTTCCAGTTCAAGTAATCTCAAAGCTCTTCACTTGAACATGTTGAGAGGCTCATTTCTACTTCTTTTACACGAAAATGTGGATGTTTTGGAGGGCTGGCTAACGATTCATTCCACATTGTAATCCAAATGTTCATTCATGAGAACCAAAGTTAAAAATCTCAAGAATCACGTCGTCAGAGTTGAATGCGACGGCCAACCTACTTTTTTTCGAAGGCTTATCCAAATTGTTTCTCAAAATTTCGCTTACGGTAACGAAGTGTCTCGCTAGTGGGCTGTCTAGCGAACCACCACATTAAAGCAGCCATTTAGCTGACGCTATGGCGCGTTCATGGCCTGATTTTGCAGTGATTTATGGCCCAGGTTAATCGCCCGATAGCCAGACCAATACCTTACTTACTCTCCTTTATACTCAAAGTAGATAAATTACGGAAAATCAATATCAATCGATTTAGGGCGTGGGATCATAGAAGACGACATCAACGTGAGGACAAAGAAAAGAAAAGTATCAAGAAGGATATCAAAAAAGTTGCAGGCAAAGCTCGTCTCGGCGAACATGAGTTCATATCCGTATGTTTACACTATCGTCCACCTTTTTTTAATTTTGTCTATGAAATTCTATATTGCTATAATTACTGTTATCCGTAATTACCATCAATTATCATTGATTATAATTGTTATCAAATATATTGTTGACATTATCGATTACTTTCTAGAATCAGCTGGAATTTCAGTTGGAGTCTGTGATGGCCGAGTTCAAACTCTCGAACAACACACTTCGACGTATGATGTCACATATGAGTGACAACATGGATCGAGGCCTCGAAGGCGGACTAGCTGTCAGTGGCTTGCATTCAAAACTGATGTGGAATTTTTTCAAAACTTATTCGTAGTTAGAAAAAAAGCTTATTAGAATAGATAGCTGTTGTGATTGTAGTTAGATGTAGTTGGTGGTGGTCCTGTAGCGTGGATGTATCTGTGATTTGGGAATTGAAGTAGCGTTGTGTCTGTAGGTTCAAGGATCGAATCCTGGACAATAATTATATAGACCAACCAAGTCTTTCATCACTCCGGGGTTGATCTGGTGGTACGAGACTCGCACGGGAGGGTAAAACTACTGGTCGTACATATCCTGGTCATCGCAATCCACTGTATCAGTCGTAAACACGGAAGGTTTTATCCTCTATTCTCTTGTCTCAAATTGGATCCCTTCTAAGCCAGTTAGCGGGTCAAATAGGAGAAGCTCTATACTAATGCGTAATAGCGCATTACAGCTAATGTATATATACTAATGCGTATGATAGTCAGTGTACTTGGGAAAAGATCCCGACAAGTCTAAAAGGTCTACCCTTACTGGCCCAATGAGGATCTTTTCTAGAATAGACCTACTACTATAACTAGTCGTTTTGAGGTCATATTCCCATGAGGATATCAAAGCACCTGTCCGCACTTTAAGGCATCCCTGAGATTACTGTTACATTTCGCAGTTGAGTGCATGGCGCATATCGAAATATGCATACCCTCTCTTCCCGTCCTGCCAAGCCTAATGAAACCGGCTAAATCTGAATAGGACAGTGAGGCCTCCCAATTCTTTGACCAACCTTTTTACATAGCAGATCTCTCTGCGCAATACATGGTGATACTGGGATACTGATACTTTGGGCGAGAAATTAGGAATAGCTTTCTTCCAATTTCAAAATGTCAGGGGATATCCATGACTGTTTTTATTGATTGGCTATTGTTCCCACTGATCGTAGGGACAAGGTTGATGGGAAAGTTCCCGAGGGAGTCACGTTGTTTTTGTTGTGCAGGAGTGAGGAGTAGGAAGTGATATGACGGGTATCAAATTTCAGGGAAGGAAGGCTGGAAAAAGTCGGTTGTAGAGAAGCGGAAGGGTTGTAAGGGCGTGGGGTGGGAGTATTACCAGCAGCTAGGATACCTTATGAGCCTTATGATGATATTCGTTTCAGAAATCAACGATAGCCATGTTGCCTTCGTTCGTACCCGAATTGCCGGATGGTACCGGTGAGTCCACAACAATTTCTTACGAATTCTCACTTAAAGTCTTGACGATTTCTATGAGAACCTACAGCTTGGGTTTTAAAAAATTTTTTTGAATGGCCAACACCTCAACATGACTATTTTCAGAACGCGGAAGATTCGTCGCTATGGATTTGGGTGGTACAAATTTAAGAGTGATGATCATGGAAATTGAACCAGGTGAAAAAATGCGAACGAAACAGTTTAACACACGTATGCCCAATGCAGCCATGCACGGTACCGGTAAACAGGTGAACCACTACTTTTTCTTTCCATTTATTATTTAAAAACCAATGTTTTCAATTAATTAAATTACAGAAATAAAATCCAATTTAAAAAATAAGTAATTTAAAGTCATAGCGGGCGGTAGTAGATCGCTGGCAATTGGCGCACTCTCAAATGTAATGTCCAGGGATCGAATCCGGATGGATACTCGCCCATCCAACTAAATCTTTCATTCATCCCTCCGGGGTCGGCTCATCAGTGCTAGATTAGTCTGGGAGGAATAGAAACTCTGAATTTTACATCGCCTGGCCACTGCACGTCATTGTATAGGCCACGTACGCATTCCAATCGTCTGAATAGAAGTCGAATGCGGGGTGTATCCCTCAGACGGGATTGATTGACACCGAAAATTTTATCCTTGACGATATATTGATAGTGATAGCTGTAAAGTATATTACTACTAACTGGGCCAAATACATAGAAATATTTTGTAATCTGTCATACTTTAGGAATTAAAATATAGGAGTATTCAGTAAATTCAATCTTAATTACCACTTTCTATTATTATTAATGCATATTTCAATCATGAGTTCACATTAGAATTCTTTTTTTGTGTTTTAGTTGAATTTCAGTTTTTGTTATATTATTCGTGCGCTTCATGTTTATGACCCCATTACAGGACATTGTAGCTTGGCCATCCCGTAAGTGGGATATACGTAATAGGCGGGGTTCGTGCTGTTTTGAAAATTAGCGACAACCAGGAGTTTGATCTGAGCAGTTGTCGTGCAACACTTGTTTTCTAACGCGATTAGTACTTGTGTAGTCCATGATCTGGAAATATTTTGATATATGAAGATAGTTTAGTTCCAAGATACTAGGGATTCTTTAAATTTTCGAATATTTTTGGAATACTTTTTTTCATTTTCAGTTATTCGACTATATAGCCAAGGCGCTGGCTGACTTCCTCATTGAAAAAGATATGGCTAACGATAATCTGCCAGTCGGTTTCACATTTTCCTATCCATGTGACCAGACTGGTCTACGAAGTGCCACTTTGTTACGGTAAGTGATTCCGAGCACTTCGACAATTGAAATTGAATTGAAGAGACCATCAATCATCTCCAAAAACTGTGCACAAGAAGAAACGTCTGTGTTTAGGTGGACAAAAGGTGTCACTGCGACGGGAGTTGTCGGGGAGGACGTTGTGAAACTACTAGAAGAAGCTATCGCAAGAGATGGGGTGAGTCATTCACATTCAATTGCATGAGAAGAATATGGATAATATAATTACGATCGATATGGGTCAGGATGCGCCAACGAGGTCGCTAGGTCAAAACTGGGCGCGCAGTCACTTAGGCTGGAACTGCCCCTTAATTATCTTTTCTTTTCTATTGACTGTCAATAGTTGTCTTGAGTTCGCGTACTGATTTAGCCGGCGCGTCGATATGGACGTATAAATAAATAATTAAATAAACATACCCCTCTAACTTGAGCTGGATGGCAGAATTATCAAACTGCCGGCTATGACCGCTATGCCTTTGGTGACCTCATTCCGTCATGGCGGCTGTGATGGCACATCCTGACCCACACCTTTCTCCCAAACCTCATAAGGCAATTATCTATCTGAGCGATTCGAGATGCCCACAAAACAGTTGTAAACAAGAGTTTTTTTGTTCCAGCGAATCAAGGTCGAAGTGGTGGCGCTGATCAACGACACAGTGGGAACGATGGTTGCCGCTGCGTATGAAGCTAAAGGCGAATGCGATCTTGGAGTGATCATTGGTAAGGATATGAGATCAACGAACACTTGAAGATCTAATGAGTTTAGAAGTAATATCAGACATAATTACTTGATGTTCTTAATTCCCTTTTGAAACGCAAATTTTTGACTATTTTCTTTTACATTATTTTATATTTATGGGTTTTATTTTTACATTCTTAACTCATTGTTCTCGAAGGTGTTTCCTAAAACTCTTGCAGAAATTTATGCTGTAGACATTTTATTTTACATTTTTCTGTTCAACTTGATTTGGTATTTATTCGTTTTAATTCACTTTTATCCTTTTTTATTTATTTTATTCTTTCATTAATTATGAATTATCACCTCTCCTATCTGGCTATATTTTTATTCTGCTCGTTTTCATGAGCTTACTTGGGTTCTGAACAGAAAATTTGAAAAGAAATAAAGCAAACAGAAATAGAAGTGAGTTGATAACAAGTGATAATTTTGCATGATCAATAGTGATAAGTGTTGATAATATTTCAGAGTGAATAAACCCTCCATATTTTATAGGAACCGGAACCAATGCCTCCTATATGGAAGATTCGAAACGAATTATTCACGGATTGGAGAATGCATCGGAACCCTATCACCATAAACAGGTGCTAGGAACCGTTCATTTCGGATTTTACGTTTGAGATCAAATTTTTAATTCCGTATTTATAAGGCTGAATTAAACTTCGGCAAGTTTGTTTCAGTTATACGGTACTTTCTATTTTTTATTGGCGGAGGAGGAGGGCGAGGNAGGGGGGGGGGGGGGGGGGGGGGGGGGGGGGGGACACCATGTAGCATAACTGTTATGAATGCTCAATGAAAATCCAAGATTGTCATTATCTGCGGTTTGAATTTTGGAGAGCATTGATCATTTGGCTTCATTCTTAAAGTTTTGATCATTTTGGTAGGGTAACATATGGAAAACATTTCGCCTAACGATTTCAATAAAAGCAGCAGTGCTTAGAATGTGTGGGAGCAGTTAGGCTTTCATATGTTTGCTATGAGGTGCTGTAGTCAGGGTCACAAAAACTGTGGCATTAAAATGCAGCCTGAAGAAAAACCTTGTTTTCGGAGACCGAAAAACATGCTATGAATAGGAATAGGGCGGAGGTGGTGTCGTGGCAAGTGGCGAACTATCACCTACGCATGGTCAGGGGTTTGAATTTCGGATCGAAATCTGCCTAGGCCAACCAGGCCGTCCATCCCTCCGGGGTCGGTACCAGACTCAACTGGGAGGATAAAAGCCTTGTCTTGTACATCGGCCCGGCACTGCAAATCCATTTTAATAACTTTTTTGCTTTGGTCGATACTCCTCTACTCTGTCCAATATATAGGTGTCATCCGGAGTGTTATTTTTATTACGCAAACCACTTTTATTTTCCATTACCCATGCAGATAGTCACCTGTTTTGGTCGCGACCCTCTTATGGAGAGCTGCTTCAGATGATTATCGACACGGAATGGGGAGGTTTTGGCGATAATGGAGAAGCCGAGTACATCTTCACTCAGTACGATAAGATCGTCGATGAACGTTCTGATCATCCTGGAGTGAACTCGTGGGTGTTGTTTTGACTAGAAAATCGAAATCGAAGCGATTACAAGGCCCATATTAGTGACAATGGTTTTTTTTTTCGAAGTTATTGTTGAGAGAAATAGAGTAAGCACCAGGTTCTGGAAGAGCTGAAACTGTAGATTAGGTTGGATAGCAATGTGATAGGATCTGAGTACTTATCGTCTCCGACTCTTGTTAGCTATTTATTCCAAGCTTTGCCTGTATAGATGAGTTCACGTATGGGGATGTTCGAAAAGGAGTTGAATTCGAGTCTATCATAGGAGCTCTAGGTTATAATTAAGCTACTTCAGGGTCTGGGGACAGCAAATTTTTGGTTTGGCATGGACTATACTTCTACTTTTCTTTATTCGATCACATTACTTTTGTACCCTCAATGATGCTCACCGATAAATCTATTTATTTCAGGCTCGATAAGTTAGTTGCCGGTATGTGTATGGGTGAGGTCGTTCGCCTTGTGCTTGAGAAATTGTGTACTCATAAGGTAGGTTATCGTTTACCTTATGATATCACCGTTGAGCGAAAGGCTAGTTTAATAGGGAAACTAGCTGATCAGCTTTTATCTTACGAGAAAAGGTTGAATTTACATTTGAGCGATTCTACAATTATTCAACAACGAATCCCACAACGGACCCAGCGATAGCGTGGGATTAACGCTAGGGAGGAGTATACTTATCGATGATTCCGTACTATTTCATACTGAATCAATTAGCTGAATGACGCTCTAGCATTCATTTTGGAGCATCACAGTTTACGCCGCAACCTTATTTTTTCGTTTAATCCTAACCTCCAAAGTTTTTTACCCACGGCCTCCATCTAGTTTGTTAGCAGCCCCTATTATCTAATTTTTACCTATTTATCGATTTTACAAGTTCTAGGTACTCTTCAATGGAAATGGTTCAAAAATTCTGTACACAATCGGATCATTCCCAACAAAGTATATTTCTGAAATTCTACAGTAAGTTTTTTTCGATCAATATACCTTTCTTTATTCATATAAGTGTTGTCGGATGGGAGTGAAGTAGCACTGCCACCACAAAGTTATCGTCTGCCGATCAAGTAGGACATTCAAGTTCCTCCACAGCTGATTATCAAAATTACCTTTGATGCAAGATTCAGTTTTTTATGTCATCTGGCAATCGATTTTCCTTGGAGATTACACCAGAAATCCATCTTGAACGATAACGACATTTGAGGCTTACCCAATCGTTGAAAGTGACCGATGTTAAAGCGATTTCGCCGTCTCTCTTCACTAAACGGTTCACTTCAGCTGAAGCGTAGGAAGGATTTTTACATAAGGGGTTACTAGTTAGCATATGCCATCGTCATTGGCTTTGATCTGGACGGTTATTCGTCGCAGGACCTTTGCCTTATACACGATGGAAGAATAGGGGGAGGGCTCTAACACGGTGTACCGGGAGGGAGGCGGCTGGATCGCTACGGACGTTCCCCCATATAGGCGATGTACTCTGAGAATTCCATTCAATATGTTTGTTCCTAGTGATGACTGTGGATCGTACTCGAATACGAGGCAAATTATGGACGAGTTGAATATCGACGATTACACATTCTCTGATATGTTGCTGTTCCGTGAGGTCTGTTTGGTGGTATCACGAAGAAGTGCAAATCTCAGTGCTGCAGGTAAAATCATTCAAATCCTCAGATCATTCAGATGGCAGTAAGTTATCTCATTCAGCAATTGCCTGCGTATTAAATCGAGTACGTCGGCCGAAGATGACGGTCGCAATTGATGGAAGCACATACAAATATCATCCATTTTTCGACCATTGGGTTGTCGACAAAATCAAGGAGCTCATCGATCCTGGACTTGAGGTATCGTACTTTTTTCATTATCTTGCGCGAGCTTTCCCTGAAAACCTGATCCCTGATGTGTCGTGTTCCCTGTAATAGCTCCTTTCCAAGGACTGCATTCACATGTATTTGGCAAATCGAATCACCCGATCTTTCTGTAGAGCTTTCCTCCGATCTGTGTAGAAGTCAGAATGACCGACCAAGACCTTGGGAAATCCCATTTTCATAATGTATTCTCTTTTACCTCCGGAATCTCACCTTTCAGTAACCGTTTCTTTCTAAGGCGCACTTTTACCAAACGAAAGTTCAATAATCCGATGATTTCTCCGTCAAGCTCTCCTTGTTAGAGTTTGAGTCATGTTAAAGGTACAGTCCACGATGAAAGTGGCTTACGAGATATCCCACTAGGATAGACCTGTGACCCCCTCGTACACCATACGTGGCGTTTTGAGGTCGGAAAACGGGGTAGTTAGGGCGTTATGAAGGCTCAAAGATTGTCCCGTGAGCATTCGCGGACGAGTTGCACTGGCATTGTAGAGGCTGCACCATTCACTAGGTAACCCATGTGGGAAGCTCAAACAAATCGACAGCTCCAGCGACAGTGAAAGGCATTTCTGCACCGGGTTCACCATTAGTTTTGATGTAAAGTTGTTATTTAATAACCACAAAATACCGGTTTTACAACGAATGCATTCATTTTATAAGTAAATACTTTTGAGAGAATATTGCTGGATATTTTTCGCTTTTATAACAACTTGTTGTGATTTTCCACCGGCTTAGTATAATCTAAACTGAAATGTTTATCGTAAAAATAAATTTTAATGCGGTGAACATCGATATTCAACCCGTAATAAATAAGGGACACACGAATATGTCGTTTGTAGCATTGTCGAAACAGTTGGATAACCTCAACTTCCTTCACCGATAACTCGGGTTGCTTTCGACTCGGGTGAGTTCGGAAGAAATACATTGTTTCCAAACACGTTATGTACATCCAGGACTGAAGTGCCAAAGGGTGTGGCCATGTTTGGGATAAAATTCGCCCCGAAGAGCACGTTTGAAGGCACAGTTTACGATAAAAAAAGGCCTGAGAGATATCCCGCTAGAATAAATCCGTGGCCCCCTGGTACACCAAGTGTAGCGCTGCTAGGTCGGAAAATGGCCTAGATAGGGAGTTATAGAGGCTCAAAGATTGACCCTCGTGTATCCTTGGACGAGTTACACTGCACCAATCACGAGGGAACACATGTGGGGAATTAAAACAACTTGCCATGACCTACAGCGACAATGAAAGGCAAACACGATAGTTTTGGCTTGGTGTATCGGTTCTTTGTGCAATTTTAATCTCGTCCTGAAGTGTCATTCTCATCATGTTAATCTCGTACAACCTCTATTTTCACTACTTTCATGAGCCGTATCTTTCTCGAAATAGGCGAATTTTCTCCTTTTTTTCACATCTTTGCACTATTCGCAATCAATACTTCTTTTCATCTTAAAAAGGGTAACCTAAAATTATCATGTACTGTGCCTTTAATATGATGACTACTCTAATAAACTCTAATACATAGCTCTGACCCCCTACTTATCATTTTATATCATCGATTCTTAGTTTACTTACGTGTTCCACTATCGAAGTTTTCAAAGAAAATTTAAAAAACAATATCGCCTTGCAAATTTTCTTATATGAATTTTAATAGAACTTGAATTGTAATAGTTCCCTGCCCTACTTTTATGCGCTCCTTTTCAGTTCAGAGTGATCCAAACCGGTGATGGTAGCGGTAAGGGAGCAGCGTTGATCGCTGCCATTGTCACTCGTGTGAAACGAGCCGAGGAGAAGCGAAAGAAGGACGAAGCAGCACGATTGGCACGTGAAGCAGAAGAAGCGGAGAGGAGGCGTAAAGCCGAAGAGGAACGTCTTCGACTTGAGGCTGAGGAACGTCAACGTGAGAAGGAGGCGGAAGAGGATCGAGCCCGAAAAATCGAAGAACTCATGTCCTACGGCGCGGATCGTGCTAAAGAGGAACAAACAAACTATGTGACATTGGAAGATTGATCTTATTTATTCAGAAATTTTTAATCAAATAGAGTAGCTACCGTAATTCGGTAATTAGAAAGTAGCCGTTCAGCCGTTGAGCTGCCCGCTTTTTGAGCGTTACAACATGACCTTAAGTAATTGATCTGTAAAGCGATATTTGTTTTTTTAGAGAAATATTCATGTATTCAGTCATGAATGATTGAGATTTTAAGCCGGTACTAAATTAGTAATTGTTAGTCTTTACTGCCCTTTCTGAATGCCCAGATGTAAATTAAGTGATGGAACCATAAGGAGGTAACCACTGGATTTGGTGGGTGAACTTGTAGGACCAGTGAGAGTTGAATTCGGGAACTACTGGGAAGGTGTAAGAATCGCTCCGTTAAAAATGATGTTTGGGGCCGATCATGGGTGTTCCTCGATCGTTGGAGAATAACTAGAGCGGCACAAAGTGTACGGTTTCGGACGAGTTCCCTACCGAACAGCCTTGGCAGCAACCATCAAGAAGGGGCGGAGTTTGGGAAGCGAGCCCCGCCTATTGAATGTAGACAAGTAGTCGGGGATTGCCTCACATCTCAGTACTGAATTCATAAAACCATCTTGGAAAAGGTGAAACCCAAAATTGTCGCATGAAGCCTTACCCTTTACAGTTCATCCACAAGGTGGGGCCTGGGAAAGGCTGACAAGTTGGCAAGTGTTCAACGAGGAAGGGGCGTGCTCCCGACAGGCCGTTTCCCCTAACCTTACCCATTTTCGGGCCGTATGCTCATCGTTTTGCAGAGCTCTCTTCATAGCGGATCTACACCTTTACAGTAGTTCCCATTTGAACAGAGGGCCTTCCTCATTAGGGAATCTTTGGGCCCTACCCAACTTCACTACTTCACGTCTAGCGTGTCCGTTCACTACCACCATGTACTCAGCTCATCTGTATTTGAAGCTTATTTGATTGCAGGGCGTTCTATTTTGGGATTCTCGATTTTACGTGCATTTTAATTCATTTACATAATAATAAGAAATAGAATAAGAAGTCTAGATACTGTAGATTTATGTGATTGTGAGAAATACAAAGACCTAAGGTCCTAGCAGCAGTGTTAGGTACGTGTCGCTTTTCAGAGTTACGTA